TACATATGTATTTACTCGATTCAGCATATTTTTCATCTCCTGGCGCATTACATTTTTTTCGGTATTGTGAAAGAATAATCCGGATTTCTAACTTTTTGATTATACTTCTTCGGGTTCTGTATGTAAATCAGCATCTCTTTAACCTCGATAAGACGCCGTTCTCTGATTCTTTTGCGGCACTCAAGATTGTGTCCTGGCTTTTTAGTTTGTCTAAGACAAATTTCAGGGTTGTGTCAGCAGTTATCAAACTCGACTCTCTTCTACAGAGAGCTTTTACGGCCAGTTTATAGGTTAGGTTTCGTGGACAAGCCGCGAGGCTGTAGCTCTCCATAGGCTTAAACTGAGATCGTTCCGTCACGTGATTCATTGACGTCACAACCGACTGTAAATTAGAATTATGCACCAAGACTAGGAGAGGAGTTACTTATTTTATTTAGAGCGAAGACACTTTATTTAGCGAGAGTGGAAAGTCAACTGGCAATTAGATCAGCAGAGGAAAAAGGGCAGGCAGTGCGGTATAGAGAAGGGGTGTAGTATGTGCCACACTGAACATCAACGTCGCCCTCGCCGCCGAGCGATAGCACACGTAGAAATGCGGCAACACGACAACGTAGATTCTTGCGCCATTATTTAGAAAGTTAATTGAGTATTTGCGGATCCGCAGCGCTGGATCCAGCACCTGATGCTGGATCCAGCAGGCTGAAAAATGCGCTGGATCCAGCTGGATTGCTGGATGAGGGATCCAGCAATTGCAATCCCTACTTACAACAAAATGAATTTACAACCAGACCTTTAATAAATTGAGGTATATCTGTATGAAAACTGATAAATTTTCAATTCAGTTATAGAAAAACAGTAACGTCTTTACATATGTTTATGCTTTTGTAGAAATATTTGTGTTATCATCTCATTATTAACTTGGCAATTAATTTATTTAATAATAAATGAATTGCTATATACATCATTATCACTTGGTTAGCATTTTTTTTTTTTTTTGGGTCATTCAATATTTCTTTTAGCAGACTTTAAAATTAAATTAAATCTTTCCTAAAAAGCGTTTCTAGATATTTTAGAAAGAATAAACATTCCACACAAATTCTGATGAGTTTTATCTTCACATGTTGCTGCAGTACCTCCATGTAAGAACAGATTAATTAAACAGGATTAACTAAAACAATCATGAATATCAATTTGCAATCAATAATTGGATGGCAGCCTACCGCTCTGGGGGACCCAGGATCGAATCTGGACAGGTCAAGGAATCCCCATGAATTTTTCGGGTCTGTTCAGATATGTCGGGCCCCGTCCCTCACCACCCAGTTGCCCATTGTGGGCCTGGCTGAACACATAATGGGCCTGCGATAAGAGGCCCCCTTAGTGCCCACAGGGTGGAAAGAGTATAAAAAAAAAAAGAATATCAATAATTTCTTTATTCATGATTAACTTCCTATTTCTTATAAGCATTAGTATATTCCACAATAGAAATTTTCTGTTTTTTTTTCTTCTTTTGCAAAATAATATTTATAAGTGTGAAACAAACTTACAAAAAATTATTTTTTTAAAAGTTTATAAATTATTCACAAATACTATTTAGTGAAATTTAAATTAAAC